ATTTCTCTTTCATTACTGAGATTTCCTGTATGTTCATTCAGTGAGCATGTACTTTTATGTCTCTCAGCATCGTGTTCAAATCCTTTTCTGCTGATCCCGGCCATTGCTCCTTCCCAGGGTCTTCCCACAGATCGCCTTTTCTCTTGTCTGTGGCTCACATATTCTTTTTTTTTTGTATTTACAGTTTTTTCATTGTTTGTTTGCTTGCTTGTTTTTGGTTTTTTTTAGACAGATCTTGCTCCGGTCACCCAAGCTGAAGTGCAGTGGCACAATCTCAGCTCACCGCAACATCCGCCTCTAGAGTTCAAGTGATTCTCCATCCTCAGCCTCCTGAGTAGCTGGGACTACAGCCACATGCCACCACACCCGGCTAATTTTTTGTATTTTTAGTAGAGACGGGGTTTCACCATGTTGGGCAGGCTGGTCTCGAACTCCTGACCTCAGATGATCCACCCGTCTCTGCCTCCCAAAGTGCTTGGGATTACAGGCATGAGCCACCATGCCCCGCCTCTGAAATAGAGATTCTTTCAACCTAAATTTGGCCCCTTGGGGTCTGCCCATTATATGGGTACAAGAGTCAAATTGAAATGTGAGCAAAGTTTATACATAGAATTTGGTTCCTGTTCTGGGTCTCTCTGCTTTCCAGGATTCCCACCTCCTTCTTCACTTTCCAGCTGCTGTTTTCCCTCCAGTCTCTATTGTCTGATTTTTCAAGTCAGTAAGACTACCTGTACAAGGTTCTATCTGAGATTTAGTTGCACCTGAAAATGTAATACACTTGGAAAGAGAATTTTATTTGCTTAGTGTATAATACCTGCATCTGAAAAAGGTATGAAATTTGTTAAGTATCAGAAAAAATTCTCAATTTTTAGGGGTTTGTTTATGGCCTTTACATACAATAGGAATGAAGGATTCTTTTTTTTTTTCTTTTTTTCTGTGTAATCTTTGTAGGTAGCAAAGATTCTGTGTGATGCTCAGGTCATATAAGTCTGTTTCTAACTTTATAACAAACTTTCATATTGTCTTCCAAAATGGCTGTACCAGTTTTTTATTCCCATGAATAATGAATGAGAATTTCTGTTGCCTGCATCCTCAAGGTATTTTGATATTGGTCTTACGGGGTTTTAGCTCCTTCCTGTTTTAATTTACATTTCCCAATGACAAATGATGTTGAGAATCTTTATATGTTTATTTTCCAACTGCACAAAACATTTTTAGTAAAATATCTATTCAGATCCTTTGTCTGTTTTATTAGGTTAATTTTGTATTAGGTTGACTTTTTAATTGTTGAGTTTTAAGAATTCCTTATGCATTCTAGATATGAATGCTTTATCAGATATATGATTCGCAAACATTTTCTCCCAGTCTGTGGCTGGTCTTTTTATTGTTTCAACAGTATCAAAAAAAAAGCAAATTTTTGTGAAGTCCAATTTATATATTTTTTCTTTTGTGGACTGGGCTTTTGAAATTATATCTAAAAATTTATAAATAAAACTAAGATTGTGAAGATATTCTAGATTTTTTTTCTATAGATTGTGTAGTGTTATGTTTTACATGTAGGCCTATGATCCATTTAGATTTAATTTTTGTGTAAGATGTGAAGTATGTGTTGAGGTTTGAGGTTTGTTGGTGGGTTTTTTTTTTTTTTTTTTTTTTTTTTTTTTTTTTTTTTTTTTTTTTTTTTTTTGGCAACTGGATGAACTGTATGTTCATTGACTCAGCACCAGTTAGTTGTTTATTTCTGGCTCTCTATTCTGTTCTATTGATGTGTGTATTTATCATTTCACTAGTCTCACACTATCATAATTACTGTAATAATCTTGAAATCAGGACCCACGCATCTTCCAAGTGTATTTTCCTTTTTAAGAGTTGTCTTGGCTATTCCTTTGGTTTTGTGTACATTACATAGACTGTATATATTTTAGAATCTACATATTGATACCTATTATAAAGTTTGTTTGGATTTTTATTGGAGTTGTATTGCATATATAATTTGCAAAACACGGACATCTTTCAAATATTAAGTCTTGCAATCCATGAACTTAGTATCTTTCTTCAGTCATATAGATCTTCTTTGATTTGTTTCACGGGTATTACATAGTTTTCTACATACAAATGTTGCACGTGAATGAACTCCCATTTACAAATTGCTACAAACAGAGTAAAATACGTACAAATATACCTAACAAGGGAAGTGAAGAACCTCTTCAAGGAAGATGACAAACCACTGCTCAAGGAAATCAGAGAGGACACACACAAAAAATGGAAAAACATTCCATGCTCACGGATAGGAAGAATTAATATTGTGAAAATGGCCATAGTGCCCAAAGTAATGTATAGATTCAATGCTATTCCCATTTATCTACCATTGACGTTCTTCACAAAATTAGAAAACAACTATTTTTAAATTCATTTGGAATCAAAAAAGAGCCTGTATATCCAGGACAATCCTAAACAAAAGAACAAAGCTGGGGGCATCACTCTACCTGACTCTAAATTGTACTACAAAGCTACAGTAACCAAAGCAGCATGGTACTGGTACAAAAACAGACAAATAGATCAATGGAACAGAATAAAACACTCAGAAATAAGACGGCATACCTACAACCATCTGATCTTCGACAAACCTGACAAAAACAAGCAATGGGGAAATGATTCCCTATTTAATGAATGGTGCTGGTGAACTATCTGGCCATAGGCAGAAAATTAAAACTGGAACCCCTCCTTATACCTTTTACAAAAATTCATTCAAGATGGATTAAAGACTTAAATGTAAAACCCAAAGCAATAAAAACCCTAGAAGAAAATCTAGGCAATATCATTCAGGACATAGGCACGGGCAAAGATTTCATGACAAAAACACCAAAAGCAATTACAATGAAAGCAAAAATTGACAAATAAGATCTAATTAAACTAAAGAGCTTCTTCACAGCAAAAGAAACTATCATCAGAGTAAACAGATAACCTACAGAATGGGAGAAAATTTTTGCAATCTATCCATCTGACAAAGGTCTAACATCCAGAGACTACAAGGAACTTAAACAAATTTACAAGAAAAAAACAACCCCATTAAGAAATGGGCAAAGGACATGAACAGACACTTCTCAAAAGAAGACATTCAGCCAACAAACATGAAAAAAAGCTCAACATCACTGATCATTAGAGAAATGCAAATCAAAACCACAATGAGATACCATCTCACACCAGTTCAAATGATGATTATTCAAAAGCCAAACAACAGATGCTGGTGAGGTTGCAGAGAAAAAGGAAAGCTTTTATGCTGTTAGTAGGGACATAAATTACTCCAACCATTGTGGAAGACAGTGTGGTGATTCCTCAAAGATCTGGAAGCAGAAATACCATTTAACCCAGCAATCCCATTACTAGATATATACCCAAAGGAATATAAATCATTCTATTATAACAATACATGCATATGTATGTTTATTGCAGCACTATTTACAATAGCAAAGACATGGTATCAACCCAAATGCCCATCAATGATAGACTGGATAAAGAAAATGTGGTACATATACACTATGGAATACTATGCAGCCATTAAAAGGAATGAGACCATGTCCTTCACAGGGACATGACTGGAGCTGGAAGCCATTATCATCAGCAAATTAGCAAAGGAAGAGAAAACTAAATACTGCATGTTCTCACTTATAAGTGGGAGCCGAACGATGAAAACCCATGGACATATGGGGAGGGAACAGCATATACTGGGCCCTATCAGGAGGCAGGGTAAGGGTTACCATTAAGAAGATAATCGATACTGGGCTTAATACCTAGGTGATGGGTTGATCTGTGCAGCAAATTACCATGGCATATGTTTACCTATGTAACAAACCTGCACATTCCCACACATGTACCCCAGAACTTAAAATAAACATTGAGAAAAAAGAAATATGCTGGCTCTCCACCTCAGCCCCCAACCACAGTACTTCTTATTTGATGTTTCACAGTAGCTTGTTTTCTTGAAACACGGCATATGTTTTTAGATAACAATAGTAAGAAAATAAACACTTTCCACTCAATACTTTATGAGTACCAAAATAGTAATGGTATAAATATTCTACCTGGTATTGGCAATGAAAATAAGCAGGTGTGTGATGCAGTTATGTTAGAATAGTAGACACAGCCTACTGCTAATGATTAAATTGGTTAGAATCATAACCTAATAGATAGAGAGAGAGAGAGAGAGAGAGAGAGAGAGAGAGAGATAATGGATAGATTGGAGATAGATAGATAACTAATAGATAGATAATTGATGTGTTCTGCCCAGAAATGTATAATTGAAGTCAGAGAGCAACAACTTAGGCAGGTCCATAGACCTAGTAGCAGAATGAACCATATTTCTTATATGTGTCATTCCTTATGATTTACACTCTCCAGCCATTATCTTCTTTCAGCCTTTTAAAAGACAGAGCATATTTTATCCTCATATGCCTTTTCTAGTAAGGCTTTTTTTTTTCCTTTTTCTCTTACTAGAGAAGCAGGCTTAGGAAAAAAGTGAACACTACAATTAATACTAACAAAAAGACATCACAACTGACATTAACCTCAGAAAACATAGACTTAAGATTAAATATTCAAAAAGAAACACAGGGATACAAATAACACTAAATAAACAATGTTTAAAGAAAATATAATACACTTGGCAAGGCACAATGGCTCACACCTGTAATCCTCGCACTTTGGGAGGCTGAGGCAGGTGAATCATTTGAGCTCAGGAGTTCGAGACCAACCTCGGCAATATGGTGAAACCCTGTCTCTACAAAAAAAATACAAAAGCTAGCTGGATGTGTGCCTGTAGTTTCAGCTAGTTGGGGAGCTGAGGCAGGAGGATCCCTCGAACCCAGGAGGTCAAGGCTGAAGTGAGATGAGATCACACCACTGTCCAGCCTGGGGAACAAAATGAGGCCCTGTCTCAATAAATAAATACATAAATAGGAAAATATAATAAACTTAAATTTAAAAACATGACAGGGCTTTTTTAGCACCATCTGCTCGGGGCACCGCCTCCTGCTCCTCCTGCTGCTGCCGCCCTGAGTCACTGCCTGTGCAGCTCCGGCCTCCTGGCTCCCCATACTAGCTGCAGATATTTGGAGTTCTTACAACATGGCAGACATTGACAGCAAACAGTCTGAACTTGATCAAGATTTGGATGATGTTGAAAGAAGTAAAAGAAAAGGAAACTGGTGAAGAAACAAAAATCAAAGCACGTCAGCTAACTGTTCAGATGATGCAAAATCCTTAGATTCTTCTGGCTCTTCAAGAAAGACTTGATGGTCTGGTAGAAACACCCAACAGGATACATTGAAAGCCTGCGTTAGGGTAGTTAAAGACCAGCGAATGCTCTCAGAAACCTGCCAGTTAAATGTGCACAGAGAGAAGCCAAATTCTATGAGGAAGTTCACGATCTTGAAAGGAAGTATGCCATTCTCGATCAGCCTCTATTTGATAAGCGATTTGAGATTATTAATGCAATTTATGAACCTACAGAAGAAGAATGTGAATGGAAAGCAGATGAAGAAGATGAGATGTCAGAGGATTGGAAAGAAAAGGCCAAGATTGAAGATGAGGAAAAAGATGAAAAAAAAAGAAGACCCCAAATGAATTCCTGAATTTTGGTTAACTGTTTTTAAGAACATTAACTTGCTCAGTGATATGGTTCAGGAACATGATGAACCTATTCTGAAGCACTTGAAAGATATTAAAGTGAAGTTCTCAGATGCTGGCCAACCTATGAGTTTTATCTTAGAATTTCATTTTGAACCCAGTGATATATTACAAATGAAGTATTGACAAAGACACATAGGATGAGGTCAGAACCAGATGATTCTGGTCCCTTTTCTTTTGATGGACCAGAAATTATGGGTTGTACAGGGTGCCAGATAGATTGGAAAAAAGGAAAGAATGTCGCTTTGAAAACTATTAAGAAGCAGGAGAAACACAAGGGACGTGGGACAGTCGGTACTGTGATTAAAACAGTTTCCAGCAACTCTTTAACTTTTTTGGCCCTCCTAAAGTTCCTCAGAGTGGAGATCTGGATGATGATGCCGAAGCTGTCTTTGCTGCCGACTTCAAAATTGGTCACTTCGTACATAAGCGTATAATCCCAAGATTAGTGTTATACTTTACTGGAGAAGCTATTGAAGATGATGATGATGATTATGATTAAGAAGGTGAAGAAGTGGATGAGGAAGGCGGAGAAGAAGGAGATGAGAAAAATGATCCAGATTATGACCCAAAGAAGGATCAAAACCCAGCAGAGTGCAAGCAGCAGTGAAACAGGATGTATGTGACCTTGGGGATAACCTGTTCTAGTCTATCTTCTGCTTCCCTGGAAAGGATGAATTTACATCATTTGGCAAGCCTGTTTTCAAGTTACTTGTTGACAGGTAAACATATAAATGGAAATTATTAGAAAGGTAAAAACCTAATTCTAAAAATTGTATTAGAATGAAGGAGTTTAATAAATCTTTCAGAATTCGATATAAAAGACAAAAATAAGAAATGACATAATGTAATCAAGCTTGTGTGTAGTTATTAGGTAAATCTTTGTCGTTTGAAAAAGGAATACGTACACACACATATGTGTGTCCAGGTTTTACAAAATTCCTTATTCATTTGGTCATAAACATATTTGTAAAAGTATACATTTTAGGGGCACATTCCCTTAACAAATAGAAATAAATAATTAAAATGTGACTTTAAGAAATACGTATTTGAAAACTAAGAAACATCCCCCAAAATATTCCTTAAAGAAGAAATCCAAAGTGAAATTACAAACTACCTTAAAAAAACTCAATGAAAAGGAGGCTGTGTCATACCAGAAACTCTGAGTCTAAGTTTAAGTTACTATGGAAGAAAAAGCATTGTTTGACGTTTCTTCATTATTAAAGAAGAAAGACAGAAAATATGGGCATTTCGTGTTTATCTAAGGAGGAAATGGTAGCTATCCTCCAAACCCCATTCTCTCTTTTTACCACAGTGAAAGAATAGTAGATGGGCCATGGTGTGTGTAGCTGATGCCTAACTACACTGCATTCCCCAGACTCCCTTGCAGCCAGATGTGGCCACGTGACTTACTTTCACCAGTAAAATGTGAGTGGAAGGCTGTGTACCACTTGTTGGTACAGTGGACGTGGCTTTTCCACATTTCCTTTTCCCTCCCCACAAGCTGAAACCAGCCAGGACATGCTGGTGACCCAGTTTTGATCATGCAGACTGGACACTGCTTTAGAGCAGCATCATCAAGCTCTTTCCAAAGAAGGCCAGAAGGAAAATAATTTAGGTTTTGTAGGCCATCTGGTCTCTACCATAATTACTCAACTATGCCATTGCAGATCAAAAGCAGCCACAGGCAATAGGTAAACAAATTAGCATGGCTGCATTGCAATAAAATTTTATTTGCCAAACAAGCCACAGATAGAATTTGGCCACATGCTGTAGGTGCTGACCCCTCCCTTAGAGAGTGGCAGCATACCACTGTTTGTCTGCGTTCCTGAAATATATTTGTGGAATAGATCATCTACCCCTCCTGGACTGTTCCATGAAAGAGAAATAAAGTGGTTTTGGGATCCCCTGGCTGCAGCAATTTAGTCTTAATTCTAACTAATACAATCACTTTAAGAAATTAGGGGGACAAGAGAATAAAATAAATCTGAATACAATAAATAGATAAAAATAAAGTGAATTCAATGAAGTAAAAATACAACAAAAAATAAATGCAATATTAATCCATTAAACAAAAAAAAATGGTAAAGTAGAAAACTTGTGGTGATCCTTTTAAAAAAAAAAGATTAAAAAGAAAGAAATTGAATTATAAGAGACTACTAAATCTATGGAAATTATTTTGAAAATGTAGAGGAAACTGATAGTTTTCGAGGAAAGCATTAATTACCCAAGGAGCAGAAAATTACTAGCCGGGCATGGTGGCGCAGGTCTGTACTTCCAGCTACTTGGGAGGCTGAGGCAGAGTAACGCTTGAACCCAGGAGGCGGAGGTTGCAGGGAGCCAAGATCGCACCACTGCACTCCAGCCTGGGTGACAGAGCCAGACTCCAGCTCAAAAATAAAAATAAAAAATAAATTTAAAAACAAAGAAAATCGAACTAAATTACTATGGACAAGAAAGGAAAAGTGATTTTAAAATCTATTATTTTAAAAGACCAGGACCGCGGCCGGGCACGGTGGCCCACGCCTGTAATCCCAGCACTTCAGGAGACTTTTAACACGGTGAAAACCCAACTCTACTGAAAACAAAAAATTAGCCCCACGCGGCAGCATGTGCCTGTAGTCCCAGCTACTCAGGAGGCTGAGACAGGAGAATCACTTGAACCCGGGAGGCGGAGGTTGCAGTGAGCCGAGATCGCGCCAGTGTACTCCAGCCTGGAGACAAGTGAGACTCCTTCTCAAAACAAACAAATAAGCCCAGGACACCCTGGATAAAACTCATAGCTGAGTTCCATCTAAACTTGCAAGGGCATATATTCATTCATTCCACAAATACTACTGAGTGGTTACCACCAACCAGGCACAATTCTGGTCCTGGTGAAAAAGCAGTGAACAGAACCCAGGGTTCCCGTCCACATAGAGATTGCATTTTATTTGAAAAGGACAGACAATAAAGAAACAAATAAATACATGATACATACTGTGATGATAAATACTGTAGACAAAGGCAAAGCAAGGTGTGAGAGATAGTAAATATGCCTAATGATACTGAGTTTCTCCAATAACACAACTTTGCATGTGATTGTCACCTGTACACCCTCATCTATGAAATGTCTCTTTTTGGTTTTAGCCTATTTAGATTGAGGTTTTTTTAACTACTGAGCTTTGAGAGTTATTAATATATTCCACAGACCAGTTCATTGTTGGATATGTGGTTTGAAAATGTGCGGTTTGTGGATATGTGTTTTCTCCCAGTCTGTAGCTTACATTTTCATCCTCTTAACAAGGTCTTTTGTAGACCAAAGGTTTTAAGTTTTTATGAACTCTAATTTATTAATATTTTCTTTTGTGGATCATGTTTTTGGTGTCCAGTCTAAGAACTTTTGGCATAACATTAGTTCTTGCAGATTTCTCTATGACTTTTTTCCCGAAAAGTTTTATAGTTTTACACTTTATATTAAATCCTTGATCCATCTTATTAATTTTTCCATAAACTGTGAAGCTTAGGGAAAGGTTTACTTTTTTGCCTATAGATGTCCAGTTGCTCCAGCAATCATTCAGTGAAAAAGCAGTCTTTCCTGTTTTTCTTGTTTGTTTGTTTTTTGGTTTTCTTTTGTTTTGAAATGGGGTTTTGCTCTTGTTTCCCTGGCTAGAGTGTATTGGCACAACCTCAGCTCATTGCAACCTCCACCTCCCAGGTTCAAGTGATTCTCTTGCCTCAGCCTCTAGAGTAGCTGGGATTACAGGCATGTGCCACCACACCTGGCTAATTTTGTGCTTTTAGTAGAGACAAGGATTCACCATGTTGGGCAGGCTGGTCTGGAACTCCTGACCTCAGGTGATCTCCCAAAGTGCTGGGATTACAGGCGTGAACCATGGCATTCTGCCATCTTTCCTGTTTTGAATTACTTGTGAATCATTATCAAAAATCATTCGGGAACATTTCTATGGATATATTTCTGGATTTTCTATTCTGTTTTATTGATCTATGTGTTTATCCCTCTGCCAATACTACACAATCTTAATTGGTATAGCTATACAATCAGTTTTGAAATGGAGTAGACAAATTCCTCTCAGTCTTATTCTTCTCTTTCAGAATTGTCTTAGCCCTTCTGAATTCTTTGCAGTCCCATCTAAATTTACAAATGCTTGTCTATATCTGCAAAAAAGTCTTGCTGGAGTTATGTTACACCTGAATATCCATTTGGAAATTGAAATATTTACTATATTGAGTCTGCTAATCCATGAAACATAGTATGTCTCATTATTTATTTAGGTCTTCTTTGATCTTTTTCATCAGAGGTTTGTAGTTTCGTAGTATACAATATACAAGTTCTGTACCTTTTTCTTAGATTTACACTTTAGTACTTATTAAATGATTTTAAGTGGGACCATATTTTTTTTTTTTTTGAGAGGGAGTTTCGCTCTTGTTACCCAGGCTGGAGTGCAATGGCGCAATCTCGGCTCACCGCAACCTCCGCCTCCTGGGTTCAGGCAATTCTCCTGCCTCAGCCTCCTGAGTAGCTGG